GTATATTAAAATTAAATCACTATCTTTAGAAAGATAACTCGGATGAATAAATTTTTATAGAATTCATTTTATAGAGGTTATACAGATATGAACTTGGGTAATCATGTTGTGATAATTATCCACTTGACGACTCGTAATCGGTAGTTGATAATTCAATGACAACAATGCTATCTTGACATTCTGTCGAATGACTGTCGCAGATCACGAACAGTCTAAAAAATTCAATTAATAAAAGATGCATGGGTCATGATCGTCTTTATCATAGAAATTTTTCTACGAGATTAATAATCACCGAAGAGTAAGTTAATTTTTTCACCTATCATTATCTCATTCATTTAACACCTTTAATATACGAACTGATCTTTGTATTAGCAAATATATCTCAATATTACATCATTCCTACATTGAGAGAAATGTCTGGTTGGATTAATTAGAATTCTGATAAAAAATGAACGAATCAGAATTTTTTGCTTATGTTAGAATTCTAGTTGAGATAACCAGAATTGTGACATAATCAGAATCTTCTGATTCGTCCATTTTCAATCCAACATTTTTCTCAGAGAGAGTGTAATATAACATAATTAATATAATTAATATAATTAAGAAGCACATAAGATTCAAATTTTCAAATAGCACACGGCATTAAATGTATAACGCGGGACCGCGGCGCTAATGTTATTCTACTGTCTTTCTTCGCGAAGCACTGAAACGGAGGCGACCCTGACAACACGTGCATACGTCGTTCCGCGTTTATATCGAGCTCCATGCAACTGCGTTTGTAGAGAGCTGCACCTGGCAGCGTCCACGAAAAAGCAGATAAATGATCCGTTTTCCCCGCTCCGCCTGTGACTGATTTGCATCATGTAAAGCTCGTCTTGCGCCATGCGCCAGTTGCATCTGCGACGAGATGCATGTGCGGTGCTGTTTCCCGCCACGTGTCGTCCGGAAAGGAGCTATAAGAAATGTTGTGCACTCTCGATGAACGTCAAACGTCCATGTCGTGTGATTGAACATCGTCGATATATGAGGCTGTCGGTGAGACCAGGAACAAAAGAGTAGATTTTATCACTTCGGCAATAAGGTAGCAAAATTTTAAATAAAGGAAGCTAACATTTTAATTTATTATAATTCCTTTTGCATTTGTTATTAGTTATTTATTTTATTTATCGCCGAACAACAAACTATATTCGCCGCCGAATAAACAGCAATCGAATAAGCAAAGAGAATGAAAAGAGACCTTCATTAGTTAAAAATATACATAAATCTTAAGTATTGAATAAAAACAAGCAATAAAAAGTTTCAAGTTACAAAAGATCATTATGAAAAGATTATTATAACCTCCGTGCACATTTAATGTAGGTAATTCAGTCTTTGTTGTAAGACAAAGCACAAAATGCGCTTGTATAAAACGCGTGTCAAAATTAACATCCTCAGCGTAGGTAGATAATCACAGTGTAACATATCTTTTACATGTTCGTTTATATCATGACGCATAGTCTGAAATGAAGAAGTACCAGTAATGACGGTACAGTGCATTACACTTCATTCAACTTGCGTGTCGTTCTTCGTTAATTAAATATATTACTGACAATATTGCATTATCAACATTTTATTAGTAATTTATGTTGTACATACAAAATTTATAAAAATAAGTATTACTATAATATTTCAATAAATTCCATTAGAATTACATTTTTTCACAATATAAATAATCGTAATAATTATTGGATATTAAACTAACATTTTGTTGAAGCATGAACTTTTTCGAAATATTCGAGAAAATTTAAATTAAATTTGAACGTAATAATAACTGGTTATTTTTCGATAGAAAAAAATTGTAACTAATTATACTTTTGCAAAGTAACTTTCCCAATCCTAACTTTTACTTAATCACAAACGGAAGAAATAGGCACGTGTGAAACTGTAAATTATTCTATGAACTTGTTGCTCATATCTCAAAATTAAATCACCATTATACATGATAATTTAGTCACTTCTGCAAGGGTAAACGTAGAATATTGAAAGAAACATGACCGTGACAGTTATATGGTTGATATATAAGCGTAAATATGTATGAGAATTATACTTCAGCGTCTACATATCTCTGTTATTTTAAAAAACTTACATTCTGAATAATAATACTGACATTAAACTTTTGTTTGCAAAGTAAGTACATCGTTTATGCATGATCTGCCACTCGTTCAATTTGATCGATCTATTTGTTAATTTCAGGAAATCGTAGATTTAAAAGACAATTAAAAGATAAACACTTTACACACTGACATAAGTGGAAAATTAATGAATAGATGTATTACTATTTATAACTCAGATATTTTTAAATTGAATATTTTTTTCTTATCAAAATTAAATTTTAGCTAATTAATTATTATACATTTGATTGTTGGCAAACATTTTTATTATGTTTTGTTATAATGTTACATACTTAACATTAAGTTGCTTTGATGAGCGTGAGAACAAAGAAATCAAGAATGTCGACGCAAAAGGAAATTAGTAAATGTCTCAGAGGAAGAAGATGATTACACGGGACAAGATGAAGATATTGTAATAGACAACTATAATATATTATTACGCTTATTTCTCCTACGAAAAAACAGCAGAAAGTACTTTTAATTAGGAGAAAAGAAGATTCTCTGAAATTCCAGAAGCTTAAAGACTAAGCAGAAATGATTGTCTATTAAGCTAAAGAATTAAGTCCATTGGAATTAATGTTTAATTATGTGTCTAATACATTTCCGGAAATATATACAATTATACGGACTATTTCAGATGTATTCAGAAAGATATTTTTATAGATTCTTGTGTTGAATTTGTTATAGTGCATAAGAATTTAATATATACATTTAATATATACATAATACATACATAACAATATATACATTTAATATATACATAATATTAAATGTCATGAATTTATATTTTTGAGATAATGCATCATTTTAATATGCATGTATTTATAATTTCTGATTTAAATTTATAATTCATAATTTAATATCTCGGAAAACAAGTCGACGTTATTTATCATCATTCTAATGTAAATAATATCAATTTATTTCCTGGAATTGCTTCAAAATAATGTACAAATGACATTTGAATAACATTTGAACAAAACAAAATGTTACCTAACTAAAATGTTAGCTTTTGCGTAGGTTGAATAAATTCAATTTCACATTTTCAGTTTATTTTATTGAAAGGATATCATGTTTAGATTATTTGTATTCTCATCCACGTCTATTGCTCCTTTTTTATTTTGTAATCAATCCATAATCTCTGTCATATTTGATTGAATACAAAAACTATTTTGACATCTATCTTTTTTTTTTCATCTCTTTGACTTTCTGCATTTTTGCACGTATTCATGAAAAGATTCTTAAAAGACCTGTCAGTTGTCAACTGCACTTATCGAATGAAGCGATTTAATGCATGTATTCTATGTTGCGCTGCACCGAAAGAAATTTTGTCGAGCTTCCTATATATTATAAGAATGGAGAGAATGTGTAATACGTGTGAATACGTCAGAATAAAATGGTATTTACTATAGAACTTCTAGTACTATGAGTTAAATAGAAAATAATCGGCCGATTGAACAAACTCTGATAAGATAAGATAGCAACACTTCAGTTAAACATAAATAACAATTTAAATAAAACAATATGAATATTAAACAAATATCTAGACAATTTTAACTGAAAAATTTATTTTTTTATACAAATTATCATATTATTGAATACTATACTGCATATTTTTTATATATCTTTTTATTAATTATTATTTAAGTATCATAATGAGTGTCGTTAATGTTATGTATATGATCGCATTAATTCACTAAATATAAAATTTAAATTGTTGCAGACATAAATTTATACGAATCTCGTAAGCGAAATGTTTTTATTAATATGTTTTCATTATCCCTATTAATTATCTTTATTAAGCATTTGTGCTGCGCGTTAATTAGTATTTAAATTGTTTTTAATTTATTATTTTACGACATATTCATTGTTACATATATAAAGGAGACATGAAATAACTATTAAAGTTGTGCAACAATCTAATCCAATTTGTAAAAAATATAAATTATCTTTTATTCTATTCAAAGATATGATCTTTTTATATTTTTAAAAGATCAATTATGAAATCTCTGATATGAATAAAGTCGTCGTCGAGCTAACCACAGAATGTGCTAAATTCATCTTCGTTACCGAGCGAAATCTCAACGAGAACGTTGAAATTTATATATCGCTTGCAAGGACAGTAAAATACATAAGGCTAGCTCGCAATAATTTACACACGGGGACAAATACAATGTCACGAATACGAGATAAAAATGTATAGATATATGTATGATATTATTATGCCACAGAATTATTTAATCACGAGATTAATTATGCAAAATTGCAGATAGCCATATAATTTAAGAATTAGTAAAAATAAACTACATTAACCAATTAAATAAAAGAAATGAAAAGGATTGAACTGAATAATATGAAACTTAATAGCATGGAAGCGGAAGGAGAAAGATGAGGAGGAAGCAGTTGCGTGCAAAGTGACTCCGATGGTGGAAGCTTAATTATTATTAACTGGTGTCAGTAGTTGCGGCCGGTTGTGGACAGACACCTACGAAATAATTTGCGTTGATGTACGCTCGTGTGCACACATTTGGCATCATCGTTAAAATGAATAGGACAACTTTCAATGTGTATCGAATGGACTTATAAGTCAAGAATAAAATTCGTATTGACCTTTATTAATAAATTACTAGTTGAGTGTTGACCGAAGGAAAATTTACATCAACAAAAGCATGTTTCTCGGAAAGAGAACAAAATCACGGATAAGCAAACCTGATGATATTTCTGCCGGTTGGGAACTCGTTAATGCTCTAATAATAGAAACTTGCGCCCGCGTTGATGTAGCAGATGCATACAGAGTCGTCGTCGCCATTGGCATTGCGATAATTAAATCGAACGTTCAATTTATTTTCACAGGCCGTGGATGCAGCCGGGAGTCGGCAGTGGCAGGGGCCCTTCGGGCGGGACAGGTGACGATGAGGCCCCAAAAGACCCGGGCGCGCGGATCACCCATCAGTCTTACACGGAAAAAGATTATGAAGGTAAAAAATGTTTAGATTTCCCAATTTTTCTAAACCAATGAGAGTTAATCACTATAAGCATAATTACTAAACTTTGTATTACATTAAACTGCATTGGAAAGCTGTAAACAAATAGAAAATTATTCTGAAATAATTTAATTTAATTTGAATTAATTAAAAATAAGACGTTTCATAATTAAACTTTAAACATTATATCGTTTTATGAATATTTTTTATTATTATAACTCACAAGTGTCTCTGAAAATATAATTTTATAATTTTAAAATGAATCTAATCAATGATTTACTAAAATATCTTTTCAATTAATATTATACATTCAAATTTTATACTTTTAATTCTATAATACAGTTTTAATAATGCATAATTATATAATATTTATTAAAACATTCTAATTATATTTAGATTGACTATTAAATAATTTGAGCTATAGCAAGTAAATAATTAAATGCAGCATTTGAAATAGAATTATTTTTTGTGCTGGATAGGTTTAAATTTAAAAAGTACGCATAGAGAGAGAGAAAATATTCCAATTCTACGAGAATGATGATGTTAAAGGTGATAAGTTAAAGTTATTTAGTAGAACGGTCGATTCTCTGATATTGAGAACTGCAGTTAAATTTGACTTATCAAATCCACATCCTATTTTTGAAAGAGTATTATAAGTACGTGTAAGAAATTTGATGGATTTTTCTTTTATTATTTAAATTTCGATGAGAAGCTTTAATTGTAGATCTTTTACTAAAAATATAAGTATATCTTATTTATGCAACCAACAATAAAATGATATAAATTTAACTGACAGAAACTGACGCGCAGAATATCAATGTGAGGATAACTATTCCAACAATTCTTGGTATCAACTTACATAAAATTTTCACGATCGCGAATATTTTACAAGCGAATGGGTACGAGATGAGTTTTTGCTGAAATATCAAGCATTGTCTACAACAGGCAATAACGCCTGCATCTGCTTTAGGTCAGTTTGATACGAATCTGGCTTCAGTGTTTGCTCACATGACGGACCTCGCGCGTGTAGGTGCTTCGAAAATCGTTACTTCGTCAAACAACGTTGTCTATGGATGGATATGGGCTTGCGAGGTCACTTCGTATCGATGATGAAATAGAGGCCATATATGTGTGATGGTCTTGTATCATAATGCTGGACTATCCAGCGAAACAAATTGATCGTCCAGTCTGACAGGTGTTTACCTCCTATGATTGACGTGATACGAAACTTTTTCCTGAAAAATGTCAAGCTGCTTCGAAAAATAAAATTTTTCGTTGAATATCTGATTATATTCACAGCTTGCGGCATCTCGATTTCTTTATATAAATATAAATTCATATTATAAAAAATATTTAACTAAAATTATCGAGATATATGTATTTAATGTACATATATATTTTTTAAATTAATGTTATTTACATAGACTATAGTACATATTGATATCCAATTATGTTTATATGTCTGTCTGTAAATCACGTGTTTTTAGTGACCTTAAATAGCAAACTTAACTGTCACTTAGCTATCATATATCTTTTGTAACATTTTCGATTTGACAGATATAATAATGTAGACGACACAATTAGCTAATAAAAGCAGCTAAAAATGAGTTGATTTTTTATATTTATAGGACGTAATGATTATCTTTGTAAATTATATAATATTAGAAAAGTTGGTTATCATTAATACAATATACTTACGTATGTCATCCGCATAAAATCCAACTATTCGTGCCTAGGCTAACTATTGTTACTAGGCACGAATATTTTGACCTTATCGTTTGCGTGAACTCATCTTAGCATTTGACCTTTTATTCGAATATAGTCCATGCGTAAATGAATCTCATCAATACACAACGATGTTTCACTTTTGTAGAATCTACTTGTTTCTCGTGAGCATTTTCGCAAATAGGATTACGCGATTAAATGACTCTGACCTAATTTTCTTTCATAACGAAAGAAAAGTTTGTGTGTCGCGTGCACTTTCATATCAGGGAGAATCGCTCTAAATCCGCGCATCTTCCCCATGCCATGGTGTGAGTTGTGAGGCACTGTGTATGACGAGGCATCCCTTTCATCTGCTTCCAGGTCACAGGGCGCACACGGTATATGTGGGCGTGCATTTACCAGGGGAAAGGAGACACCGCCGGCACCATAAGCATCACCATTCACAACGGCAGCCGTACCCCTGTGGTAAGGAGGATGTCGACAACGATAGACCAAGTAAGTCGATCCTTATTTCATTTCTTTTTTTGTGCTTCACAAAGTTGTGCGATTCTTGTCAATGATGTCGCGTTGTGCAATACTTCGACCTTGTTCAATCAGTGACAAAGTATAATGACATACCGGTACCGTACGTAAATCTGTATAATGACGAACGTACAAAATAATACTGCTAATGTGAAAGTCTGAAATAGATGAGTGCATTCCTTTTGTTGATTACTAATGTTAATTCAGTTATTCTTCAACGTCAAGGGATTAATTCAATAGAATGTACTTATACGTATAATATTTCGTCGAAAATTAATTTTGTGTAGATACTTTACATCTATTTCTAACAAACACCAACTAATAGTAACATAATTGTTAGTTACCAATTTTTATAATTTCTCACTCAACAATATAACTGTTACGTGCAACATGTATTACTGTTATATTATTGAATAAGAAATTATAATTAACAGTTATTGTTAGTTGATGTTTGTTGGAATAAGTTTGATACAAGTCTCTCTATTGTTAAATTATACATAATTTGTTTGTATATTATATACATAAAATATTTATACATTGTTTCATATAATAATTATTTCGATATAGCATTTGATTACTATCGTATCCAACATTCTTGTCAATAAACGGATGTTTCAAATACTGCGGCTTAATAGAACGTTGCGGTAGAAAGGAGAATTCACATGTAGGCGGCACGCGAAACGTTAATTAAATGCGATATTACTTGTATAAGATACATGTACGAAATCACACGAAAATGCGAAATCAAGCATAAGTTCTTATGTACGTATGTATATATTAATGTAATGAATATATCATATATCGCAAAAAATTTATACGTATTTTTCCATTTTTCGGTAATAATAAATGGCTTAGCGCCGAGACACTTCCGTGTCTCCAGATAGGACTTGTATGTAGCCAAAACCGAGTAATAATGAATGTTATAAAATAAGAACAATAATCAAATTTATTCTCTGAAAAAATATCAAAATAAGAAACATTTCGGCTCTATTAAATCTTCATCGGGGGGGGGATTGATATTTTTTACAAGACTGATGAAGATTAAGTAGAGTTGAAACATTTTTTATTTTGATATTTTCTCAGAGAATGAATTTGATTAGTATTCTTATTTTGTGATACAATATAATTGCTCGATTTTAGCCATTATTCCCACCTTTTATGTTAATAAAATCACAAGAATCTTCAATGTATTAGTAATATATCTTCGATATAACTATGTTGAAACTAAGAAGATATTAAATAAATTTTCTTGGATAGAAACAATATTAAGTAAGATATTTTATTTTAGTAAAATAAGTTTGATTGCACTAAAAATTTACAAGATTAGATAAAAACTAATGTCACTAGAAACTATAGTTTTAATTACATTATAACTATTTAAAATTGTAATGACACATGCCAATATTACTTCGTAAGTTAATAAACAATAGTTAGATAAACCGACTTGCACGGATTTATGCGATTTATGCCTCTACTTAATTTCTTATATTAATTAACAATTTCTTTTTTATTAAAAGTAACCATAATCTTTCCTTTTAATAAATACATAAATAACAATGTATGATAAAGCTCTCCCATTACATATTACTTCAGCTGGGAAGTTAATTTAATGCACTTGCAATACAATGAAACAGTCAAGTCTCTTATAATACCGTACTCATCCCACGATATTTATACTATTTTCAATTCTCAGAATTTGGCATCAATGCAAACTACGTTCTTTAGCTTCAAAAACATAAATATTTTTAATATACGTAAAATTAATTTCTTAATTTATTTATAACTTGGATACTATATATTTTATAATTTTTTTACATATATAAAAGAAATATTAAAGAGTAATATTAAAGAGATATACAAAATAATTATTATAATTAAATATAATATCTATAAAATGTCTAATTTATATAAGTTAAGTTTCAATTATGTGAAGATATAAATTTTTTGCTTTTGTTGCTTAGAACAAACAGTCGGGAAATCTAACAAAAGAAAACTGTGCCAGTCTAAAAATGAAATGAGAATCCCCGCCTTGCATTTTGTAGCGGCGCGAGCTTCACACTTTGTTGACAGTGTTATATTTCGTCCACTCAAATTTAATCTCATTTCAAAAATAGCGTGGAATTATTACACTGATTGTTCTAAAAATTTGCAACTACTTTTTCATACTAAAACCAGTTCAGAATGTCGAAGTGTCTGATATGCATTTTTGCGGCGCTATCGAACCGAACATGGCAGCGCGCCAACCACTTGTCGAGATTTATCCGGGTATTCACCCTACTTCTGATACATCGAATATAAGAAGACAGTCGATACCGAAATGCTGTAGTAACCCTTCAGTATAAGGCTACGGGAATGATTTTATGTGCATAACTAAAGCGAAGAAAAAGAAAAAAGATTATTTGAGAAGTTATTTCTATCTGATATACAAAACATTATCCAAATTGTTGCTATCCAACATAGCACAAGTAATTTTTAACCATACATTCAAGGAAGTTATCTACTCTATAACAATAAAATTACTCTCTGTATATTTTGACAATTATTTTTGAAATTAACAATACCGTAAGCGTGACAGAACTATTATCTTCTGAACAATTGAAAAAATCATTATTACAGTATGATTTTTATTTTTGATGTTGCTCCTGTATTTTAATATATATAATTGCTTTTGTTACGATTATTTGATTCGAAAAACACACTGAAGATATAGCTGCACTTGAGAAGCGTCTATATAATTCTGTTATTAATTTATTTATATGTATGGATTTATTAACTTGTAATATATATACAGGGTGTTTGGAAAGTAATGAAAAATCTTTCGCATAGGGGCAGAATGGACTAAACTGAGAAGAAAAGTTCTCTACCATTTTATAATTTTCGCAATAGTTAACAAGATATTAATTATTAAAAATTGTCGAAAATTGGTCTTCAATAATTTTTTACTCAAATACTATCAACATTATAATAAAATTAAAAGAGACACAAATTGTTTATTTTCTTCTCATAAAGTTCTAAGAATTTTTTCTTCTCAGTTTAGTTCATTCTGCCCCTATGCGAAAGATTTTTCATTACTTTCCAAACACCCTGAGTCAGCTTGATTCATCAGTAATAATTTATTATTTTTAATAAAAAAAGAATCTCACGGAAAAGAAATAATATATCTGTATTTTATGTTAAACAATAATATATGGTAAACGTAAAATATTAATAAAAATTTTAGTCAATTTTTATAAAATTAGTACATAAATTATGCAAAAAAATCTGTCATTGTCGAGTTGATCTTTTATTGATAAAAAGTTGTTTATTTTTATCTCATAAAATTTGTCTTTTTATTATTAAATATTTTATTAGGTAATCAAGTTAATACTGCTCCAAGTAAAATGTGTTTGTATATTAATTTACAAACAGTTTTATTTTCTTTGTAGCTCTATAACTTAATACATCAAAAGATCTTTATATAATTTAATAGCACATTAAAGGACTCTTTAACAAAAACTTCTGGGTAAAGTGAAATTAAAATCGGCTTAAAATCGGATGAAATCGGGACGATTTGCCGTAAATAATACATTTCATCGAAAAATTGGAAGACGCTAAAATAGTTGACCAAGTTATCGTTTGTAATGAGTAAAACACGATAAAGATGAGAAAATTCTTGGAAAATATTGATCGTCAGGTTTCCAAGGCGCGACTTTCCTCTGAAGTCAAATCTCTGAACGTTTTTATTAAGTGAAACGAAAACATATTACTTTTTGCATATTTAAGAGAGTTATCAATTAATTAGATATATTTGTAGATAAATATTTTGTAAATTATTTACAAATTGATCAAATTTTTATAAATTAAAAGAATAATCACATAAAAGAAATATATTTAAATTTTAATTCGAATGTAATTTTATATTGATATATTCATTTTCTTTTTAAATACAAATCTTCCAATTAAAAAGAACATGCACAAGAAATGGGATTGAACACATAAGAGAAGTATCTATTATTATGTTGTCTATTTTACAAAAATATATCTATTTTGATACACGGTATACATATATATTCCGTGTTATTTTGCTTGACAAGAGTCGATGAAACGAAATAAACACTCGTTAGAACTGCATCTTCAAGAAATAGATTTCTTGAGGACTCTCGCGGAAGCACACAGATAAAACCCTCTCATTGCAATTTCTTATCAGTTAACTATAGCGGTAACCATTTAATTTCTGTCGCAGCGAAGCGATTCATAATTTGACCGCAATATCATTTTATTATTTACTTATAATATCTTCTTATCTACTATAGCTAATAAATTTTAAAGAATATATATTCAGTGCCAATAATAATACTAAATGCACAATCTTTAGAATTTATTAATTATTACGATGCTAATAATATGGCATCATTTTATATACTCGAACTTTAAAAACTAACAATAAAAAAGGAATGATATTTAAAAAAATATTTTATAAAAGAAAATCGAAAATTTATTTCCGTCAAAAAATATAGAATATTAAAATTAAATATAATTGAGACATATGAAATAGATTTGAAGTATTAAATATTGTATTATCTATTTATTAAAAAAATTTTGTTATATATTAGATTTAAATATTTTCCTGAAAATGCTGAAATATATCATTTCTATTTCTCATTTCGTATATTAATTTCTACCGCTGTAGATTGAATCAATTAATATCAGATCTCAAGTCGCTCGATGTTTCTTATAGATACCTACAGCTTATTAATATCGAAGGATCTTCATAACTTTATAGAATCGTGTTATATTAGTTATTAACTTGTTTATTTTTTAGTTAGTTTAATGATGGATTTTAAAGGTTAATTAAACGTAAAAATTTGACGGATTTTTAAAAATTTGTGCAAAATTTAAAAATCGATTTATATTAATCAAATCATAAATAACAGATTTAAATTCTACATAAATTAATCAATCATTTAATTCATTTATTGATCAATATTAAAAAATATTTAGGAAAAAGATAAATATAAAAGACACATCATATATAAATAAAGACCATAAACTTAATAAATTGATAATAGATAATAAAAGGAGAAAAATAAAATGAGGTCAAACAAAAATTCTTCTGTCCATTATTTAATTACTGTGGAGATAGGTAAAAAAAGTTATGTTTTATCTATTATTAACATAATTTAAGATATAAAGTTTTATATATCGTATATTAAAAAAACACTTTTTATTTGCATATATTATGTAATAAAATACAAGTCGCGAAAAGCACAGCTTTTAAAAGTCTGATATATTTCTTCCTGTTTGTGCTGTATAAATGCCACTTACCAGAACTTTGAAAGAGCTATTAAGTATAGAAGTTTAGCGAAGCGTTATACGGCTTTGACGTAAACTGTAGGTAATAGTTATCAAATCAAAGTAAATAAATTAAATTCCTTTTATGTCAATATATTTCTTACACATATCAATGATGAAAAATATTCAAGATACACTTAATCAATACGTTGTCAACACTTTTCATCATAAATATCCGATCATAACTCTAGTAAATATCGTGTATATGTTATGTGAGAGAAGATTAAAATATTCTTTACCAAGAACAGCTAAATCAATACCGCAATTCTCGTGCTTACATTCGTGATTCTCTCTAATTGAGAACATAAATGATAGATCAACACAATGTTTTACTGTAGCAAGTAATAATTATAAAAAGAATTAAATAATTTTCTCTGTAAAAAGACGAAAGGATTTTTATTTTTCGTAATTAAATTGGAATTATTTAGTTTAATTCGCTCATCTTGTATGTCAATAATCTAAAAAGATTCAACACAAATTCTCTCGAAAATAAATATTCCTTTAGTCCGAATGACACGGTATCGCCGTTGCAGGACAATTGTTGATGGCGTGCAGGGGTCGTCTCGCTAGCATCTGCGACCCCGCCGGCGAGATGATATGTAAGCCACCCTTATGCATATGAAGCTCCTTTATGTGATGCAAATACTTTACGCGAGATCGTTCGTGTATCCCGCAACGCAATACGATCCTTCAAGTTTTCTCGTTGAATAATTTCACGTCTTCGCTATTATGCCACTATTTGCGCATGAGGTATCAACGAGGCATTGGTTGCTGATGACGCTTTCATCAAGATCACATCCGCGGAAAATAACAATCTCTCTCTCTCTCTCTCTCTCTCTCTCTCTCTTGATTAGATTTTAAACCTAACATAATGTTTCAGATGTCTGCGATAATCGTGTCACGTGCATCAACGTTTATCAGACACAAGTAGCTTGTATATCGCACAGACGTCGTCTTGATTCGTTGATTACTGTTACATAAACGTGATTGTATTTGATGTTATCGAACGCATTTGTACCATAAGTGCCTCGCCATGCGTTGCAACGCGCGTGGGTTTATTAATTCTGCAGGTGTCTAGTGCAAATTATGATAGGTATAATGATTCGATTACGCAATGCGCAGGTTGAAATTAAATATTTACATTCTTGTGGGATGTACGAACGGTACCGAAATTTTGACGACGCACGACACAACACATACATAATTCCAGAGGAGGGTAAGACCGCTATTTCCGCATTTGCGGGATATAAATGCCGTCGATGAGAAATATTACCATGCTACAATAAAACGAGTAAATACAGCATAATAATTGTATACTCATAACAATTTTTTTAATTTTGTCATATATTATTGAATACGTGAAATAGAGTTGCCTAGGAGATTTGTAATTTATAATTATAATTGAATACATTTATTTTCTCGTATTTATTTTTCTCGTTTTAAAATTAAGATATACAAAATAAATTACACAGGTCAACAAGGTTTTGTTGTTGGGAAGCTGTGGGTCATTTCCGACGTAATTTTCTGCGTAGAATCCGAATCTGAAATCAGAATTGGCCTATCACGTCAGGATTTTGAGATATTTGAGGATATATACTCGAAAAATGCGTTTTTTTGCTATTTTCGAAGTTATGATCATTAGAGTTTTCCACGTCTAGTGAAGAAAGAAAAACCGATATTTGTCAATAAACAAACAACTTATTATTTTTTTTATACACACCTGCAAAATATCCTTTTTTATGCATTCAGGTGCTTCGTTTATCGAGCGAATTTCGAGCATCCTAAAACTTTCAGCGAGAAAGTTGTTCATTCGGATATGAACAAATGTTCTGGAAAGTTTCATTTTCATTGCATTAATAAGTTTAAAACTAATGATTTGTTTAAAGTTGGTAGACGCCTTGCACTCAGAGCCGCAGCGCACAAGACGCGC